TTTTCTTGATTTCTATTCAAGTCAATGCAGTTTGACCCATGGCACTAGCCGCTCGTTGTGGTACTACAACTGAAGGGTCTTTTGGACTCAAATAGGACTTCCAGGACAGTTCGATGTTAAGTCTTCCTTCAGTTACGGTTCTTTTTTCCTGTGCCTAAATCACAGGAAACTCGTTGCACATCTCTTATTATCCCTTCACATCTGACAAGTCACAACACTCCTCATCTCTGTTTTTCTTCGTGTCCAGGCCTGATGAGGGCAGATTTTTTTCCCCTTCCTGCTGTCACACATAAAAAAGTGGCATTATATTATTTTGTCTCTTGATCATTTCTTTACAAGCTGTAAAATAGACGCGAGTAAAGTGTATTAAAATACAGCTGATATATGCAAAACATCTTTGGTTTTGCACCTCATAGACCCGTGGTTCCCAACGTGGGGCACACGCCCCACAGGGGGGTAATTCTAGAATGTGTTATTGGCAGTTAATTTTTTCTAGTGAGTGTGTGTGTGTGGGTATTAATACTTATGCTACATATACATTATGCATACATAAAACTATTTGTATGCATGTATGTACTTTTCGCCTCCCCCACGTTTGGGTTTCTTTGGTCGACCAGTGTCACATGGAGGCATCAAGATTTTAGAGATGCTTAAGTGGGGCGTGGCCCAAAAAGGTAGGGAACCACTGCCATAGACTCTTATGGGCTTTAATCATGTCTCTCGAGGAAAGAGTTAATAGAGGGAAGGCCTGTCTCTTGAGGAAAGAGTTAGTAGAGGGAAGGCCTGCTTCTTCTTCCTTAATACCAACTTTTTCAGGTAGTATTCTTTGTTATAATGCTTTTCATGGCTCAGTTTTTAGTTACTTTTTGTGTTTACACAAATGTATTAGATGTGGCCACCATGACCAAGTGGTCACGCTCGCGACTTTGATGTCTGGTCGAGGGTTCTTGGCCCGCCACGGTCTGAGTTTAGAGAGGGCATTTGCTTAGGGTACCGGCCACACTTGTCAAAACCAAAGTCCTTTGCAAGAAGGCACTGTCCCAGCCCTTAGTAGAAAAGGGAGCCCGTGACGTAAAACCAATTACATCTCAAAGTACTAGGTATCCATGAATTTTTACACGTCTGTGTGAACTGACTGCCATCTTTTAGCACTTTCTAAAATCTACTAACGGATGAATTATCATATCAGCAAGCGTTCCTTTGATTAAACCTGGTAGGTAGAGGGAATAGCTATGGAGTTTGTCATATCTAGGCTATTGTTCAGTTAACAGACCGACATCTGAACATATGAACAATCACTGAAAAATCACTATCGCTTAAGCCAACCGGGTATGCACTCTTGTTCTAAAGAATTTTAGCGTTTCCTGGATTTTCACTCTGCACTAGACTATTGGCTGACTGTGTATGCAAACGTTTCTTTCCATAGATACACCGAGAATATTAAGGAATTTGCAAGTGTCTTCCGCCTCTTATCCCAGTTTTCAGATTATATATATTTATTTTTGACACGTGTTCACAACTTTGTATTTTCATTTATATATAACACTTATTTTGTAGCTGTAGTTTATATAATTATTGTATTAAATATGCTAATATTTTGTTATTTTTCCGTAATAACACTTTCCACCGATTTCACTTTAGAAATGATATTACTGTTTATTAACCTTTAACACCATTTACATATTTTTACTACGATCTGTATATTTATAAATTTTTTACATGGTTTTGCCAAGTTTTACTGACATTAGTTGTTAACACTTTTTTTTAGAAAATAATTTTTACCTTTAATACAAGTCTTTATTTATATATTTTTAAACCTATCTCAAGCTATTTATAAAGATATTTGATTATATCACATAGATAGATTTATCCATACGTGTCTATATATCACACTAGGTTATCTGTACATTTTAATTACCATTTACACTTTTTGATAGTTACTCATCTACCTATATGTTATATCTACTACGCCCTTTTTTTTATAGGTATTTATAAATAACATTATATGTGTTACACTTTACAATAACATTGCACACCTCACGTGCTCTCTCACCTGTGACCACATGGCTAGCTGGCCCATGTCTGGCATGGAGTCAAGAAACCAACCTCGCCATTCGCTCTCCAGATACTGTGGATGCTTTAAGGTTACTCTTCCGAAGACTGTTGAGCAAAAATTCTCTCTCTCTCTCTCTCTCTCTCTCTCTCTCTCTCTCTCTCTCTCTCTCTCTCTCTCTCTCTCTCTCTCTCTCTCTCTCTCTTATGGGAAAAATTTGACTGTATATTCTCAATAGAATTACGCAGTTGGCGAGAAAAGTCATACATTTAATTTTATTGTGAGATATACATTTATAATGTATTCTTCTTGCATCATGGTAATATTTCTGGATATATATAGTATCTTATCATGTATAGCTGAATATTGATATTATTATTATTATTATTATTATTATTATTATTATTATTATTATTATTATTATTATTATTATTATTATTATTATTA